ATGTTGATGTGCCAATCTCCGCTAATATGAGCGCACGACTTCAGCCTTGGGCCCTGGCCCGCTTGGGGCACATTGAACAATCCAAACCTCCTTGCCTGTGCTACGCTGCTACACACCGTTGGCACATCCGGCACATGTTGCGTGCAGATTCAATGCTAATTACTGCTAATTGCTAATGACTGCTAATGTAAATGCATACGGCATACATGGTTGAGCTAAGCGGCTAAGCAGGTTTGCAATCAGATGGACACCCACCTGAAGATGTACGGTGTGTTTGGTGCGGACGCGATGATGCAATCCACTTCGAAGGAGTTGCAAGCCGAGGTCGAATCCGTCAGGCTGCTGCAAACAGAGCAAGTTCTGTTCACGTGCTTGACTTCCAGCAAGCTGAAGTCGAGTGCACCCGATCTCATCCAGGAGACAATTGCCGAAGCGAAGAAGCGCCGACACCAGATTTTCCCTGCGCTTCTTGCCAGTTGCGAAGATTTCCTCAAAGATGCGAAGTCTAGCTGAAGGCCCTGCAGAGCCTCCGTGTGTGAGTTTTCCGGGATCCCATGCAGAGCAGAGTGATCCGCGTGCCTGATTTGTCAGGCCTAAGTCCCTGAAAGTCTCAGCATTTGCATCAAGAAACTCTTGATCCGGTCGCCGCATGCTGGTGTCATATTGGTTCATTCTGAGTTAGACGCACTAACAGATTGAGATCCCCACTCAGGGCAGTGCTGTGTTGTCGCGATGCTGAGCTTTCACTTTTGCAAAAAGCTTTCGGCCGAAGGCCCGTTGTGCATTTCCTTGCCTTGCTGCGCACCTTAAACCCGAGTCCCAGTGACTTCGTGTCTTGTGTTTGGACGGAAACCGTGAAGGTCCAGGCTGCTATAGGGCTGCTAGGCTAGACCTAGGGCCTAGGGTCAAATGAAGCTGTGTGCTGGGTCTCGGTCTCGGTGCTTAGACGCAGAGCAAGTCGAGAAGCGTGAAAGTTGGACGTCTGAAACGAAGTTGCGCGGTCGTGCTTGCTACTTGCTGTGGTGAGGGCTCAGGTCAAAGATTTCTATCGCATTTAGACGTTTTGGCATTTTGCAATGTCATATATGTTGGCTTTCGTTTGTCCAGATTCTCAATGTCTCGGCTGCCCATGTGCTGCAGCTTATAGCGCTGTAGCGGCTACTGTCGCAGTTCAGTACATCAGGCAATGCATGTGTGTTTGTGTCTGTGTCTCTGTTTGTGTCTGTTTGTGTCTCAGTGTTCGTGTGGGTCTGTGTGCTCTTGTCTGCAAATGATACTATAATAAATAATTTAGCAGTGATAATATTGTATTTACTAATATTTCTAATAGTGAATAATGATAGTAACAATAATGAGAATACGAATGAGCAATGCTGATAATGATAATAGAATATTACGATTATATTAATATTTGCTAATAATATTCCCATTTTCATCGCATTTTATTTGCACTTTTTTGCCACTGTCAATGCATTCTTTTTGTGATAATGGCTATATCCCATTTTTTTTTACATTTGTTTCCCTTTTTTGGTGCATGCCCAATTGCATTTGTTTCAGATATATTTTCTCATTCAAAACCCATCGCCAAAATTGGTTTGGATTATTGTGGCATTCCCAATCCCATTCAAATCCCATTCAAATCCCATTCAAATCCCAATATATCTTTTTAGCTAAAAGATAGAAAGAGGCAGCAGACTGCCCACACAATTGTAGAGCTTCGCCCTCTGTTTCACCGTTTTGTCGAGTCTTTTGTCTAGTTGGTAGTTTGTTAGTTTGTCGGGACCGAGAGCTACAGCCGTAGTCGACGAGGCCCAGTCAAGCCAAAAAAAAATTGCGAGAGGCAAATCCCTTTAGGAAAAGCCAGCAGACCCCCCTCCCTTAACAACAGAGAGTCACTTGTCAGACTTAAGCCTTTCTCAGGAGCTCACGCACTCTTCTCAGATGCAGTCGTCCGGTTTGGACGTGCACAGCAGGCTTCAACTAATATTTGGACGTGTGCAGAGGGCTGTGAGTAAAATCGAACAAAACGCCGACTGACGTATGTCAGAGGAAGTCCGGAGTGCATCCGATGTGGACACTGCCGAGTTAAGCACATAGACGCAGAGGCTCCGTGTGAATACCATCGGTGAATGTGGACTGCAGTTTTCCTACTTCTCCTCCGAGGTTCCACTGAATCGCATGAGCTGCATGCTCAGGATCGGTGGGGGTCTGACGAGTGCAGTGAGCTCTCCTGTGTCTTGCTTTAGTTCCAATCCTCAATGAGTTGCAAGATCTTGTTTGGCTTACAGGCAATGTGATAAGTGGCACAGAGCTTATTCTCTGATGAGCATGAAGAAGACGCCCCTCCGTAGATCGGGCTTCCTATTGGCCATGTATGCCTGGCAGGCGGCCATGATCCGTAAGGAATGTGAGGAATTCCGCCACATCGTGTTGTTGATGCGTCTGGGCCACGTCCTAAGTATGTCCAGCCACGCCTTCCTCCGATAGAGCTGAACCGATCCATTCGGATTGAGAAGTGGTATGATCGCCAAAGTGAGAGTTACGGTCTGAGTTCCGAGCATTGTGGATCCATAAGGGCCTGCACCAGGGAATTGAGATAGCACAGGTTATGTGGCGGTTCCAGATCTATGCGAGCAACCGATGCCGGATTGTTTGAAGCTCTCGATGGCGCTGCTGTCGATTTCCCCGAAATTTCAAGCCATTGCCTGAGCGTCCCCTTTTTCCTTGTGGTAGAGATCTCCCCTGGCTGTGGAATCAGCTTCCCCTGTTTGGAGGTCGGCTTCTCTAGATGGCATGCTTTTTTTTTTCTTCATGCTGCTGTCTTCAGGAGTTGTAGAAGTTCTTTCGGCTGCGTTCCGGGCGTAGCCTGACTCTGATAAGTCGCAGCACTGAGTTTTCGGTCATGATGCTAACAGTTTCCCGGATTTTCATCTTGTCTGGGGCCTCTTGAGATATGGTCAGCTTGAACAGTGTGACTTTGCTCAGTTCTGACTTCTCTTCCGGAAGACCACCCATTGCATGAAATGCATGCATCGTCCTTGACCATCACTGGCTTTAGCTCCTGTATGAGGTTAGGGCCCGATCGTGTGCCAGGGGCTCCCTGTCTGTAGGCGCATGAGTTTGCTTCTCCACATCCCACTTCAAACATAATCCAGAGCAATCGGCTTCCAGCTGCTGTAAGGCTGTCTCGTGCCCATGATCTTTGCTCGGGCCAGGATTTGCGCACTCGGAGGCGGCCTCGCTGATGGGGCCAACCTCAGCTCCCTTTCTCGGGCTTGCTTCTGGTCTGGTCTTCACCCTTCTTTGCCGTTCAGTCGTTGCGATTTGGCTCTGGGTGTGGTCACCAGCTCGTCGACGACGCTCCCCACAGTTGCGAGATCTGGGCCAGGGCATTGTTTTCTGCCATGGCTCTGCAGGACTCTAAGTTGAAGGAGGGAGGCCAGTCTTGCTGATTTGTTACAGGGGTTGCACAGAAACCACAGTGTCGTTCAAGAAATTGCATTAGAGGCCTGTCGGCTTCCCCAGTGGGGGCCGTGGTGTCCTGTAGCAAGTCACGTACTTTGGCAGGGGTGAAGTGGTCTGGCGAGTTTGTGGGTTGGGTGGAGGTTTCAGGCTGTCCTGCCTGACACCAGGCACTGGCAAGTGCCACCTGGAAGATTACCACACAGCTTCGAATATGGCGATCGGCTGAGTATACCTTTTGCTGGCAGAGCTCACAGTCATGATCTCGGTGGATGAGATCTCGATATTCTTCGCAGTGTCTAGTGAAATTTTCGAGTCCTGCATCCCAGATTTCAGGACGCATACGCTTGATGTGCTCCTTAACTGATCCCTGCTTTGCTATCCATTGCCCAGAAAAACCACAGTGTGCATGTAGGAGCGGTGCCCATTCTGCGAGTCTGTGGAGTGGGGCAGGGGGTTGCTTAAGTAGGGCGACAGCTACCGGCGTACGCAAAATGGGTGTATCAGCCTGTTGTTCGCTGCTGAGTGGTGTGGCAGGTTGTCCCTGAGTGGTCCTATCCAGGGCTTGGTCGTAGAACAGGGTAACCTGAGTGTCGGGGTTGTCTTCAGGGGCTTTGTGATCAGGGGCCGGAGACGGCTCCCTGTCTGGTTCCGTAGGATGTGGTTGCCTAACATCGTCGCCCCCCAGGATTGGAGGTGCTTGTGGCAGTACCGGCATTGAGGCATGCCTTGTATGCAGCGCTCATGTTGCTTGTACCTGCGCTCCTCTTCCGCGTCGATGCTGACTTTTTGTTTGTGTTTTTGAGCACGATGCTGTCTGAGGGTCTTCGTCGACGGGAAGTAGAGGCCGCAGTCAGGGCAGGCCAGGCCGGTGGTGGTCGGTTCAGCCGGAACAAGAGTCTGCGAAGGCAGTTCCAGAGTGGTAACCTGCTTAAATTCCTTGGCAGTGTCCTGCCAGAATGTCATGATGTCAGTTGTGTTCGTGATATCAGCAGGTTTGTGTTGAAGTTTCTCAATTTTTCGCTGTATGGCGTGGTAAAGAGAATCAATTGGGTCGCTGATGTGGAATTTGGCACGAGCGGAGTTGCTCTCATGTGTGAGGTGGGCCGGAGAGTTCATCGCCGCTCGAAGTTGCCTGTAAAACCAGTTGCGAAGCTTGGTTGCCGCAGCATATGTCATGCCCACCGGGAGCAGACCATACGTTGCGCTCGAGACTGCACACGCAGTCCAGATCCTAAGTGGATGAGTGAGGCTGAAAATCCGGCGTGAGCGGGTGGATCTATGAAGCTTGGCCTCTCGGCCTTTTGCTTCCTTGATGCGGTGACGAGTGTTGGGGAGGGCGCACGCGCCCAGCTCCAGGTGGGTGCCTAGGTAGATAACCGACTTTGCTAGTGGTATGTAGGCGGGGCCGGACTCGGTCTCCACTTGCCAGTGCTGTTTGCCTTCTTTGCGGACTATGTACTGTTTGAGCGCCCGTTTCGCACCGGGGCCCCTGACTTTAAGAAGCAGTGCGGTCTTAGCAAGGTTAACATGAAGGCCTAGCGCTTCCATAACCTTGAGCACTTGTGCCAGGAGGGCAGCCAACTGATGGACGTCACTTTCCTGCTCGATGAGCCATTGGCATAAGGTATCATCAGCAAACGTCGTTCCCTGGCGTTTGGGGCCCGAAAGGGCACCACTTAATTCATACAGGATCGTGGTGGATATCGCCACCCAAAGGAGGGGCGCTATGCGACACCCTTGAAGTATTCCGCGCGTGGTGCTAACCGTGGTTTCGTGGAAATCGTCATGGATGTGATATGACGACGTATCATGCAGGGCTATTACCGCCGCGATGAGGTTGTCGGGGGCTCCAAGCCTCTTGAGGGAGGAGGCCAACGCGTGTCGTTCAACACGGTCAAATGCCTGTTTGAGATCAAGGCTGAGGATGGCTCCTCCAACACACAGGTCTTTTTGGGTTCCATCGTCTTCACGGGCCTTCATGGCAAATCTGCCAGTACCGGCTTTATCTAAAGTTTGCCCGAATAGTTTCATCCAAGAATGTACTCTGGCCAGTGCATCAAGGATATCACGGTTGGGCTGGTACGCATATTGCGGGACCCACTGCAGCTGGGGCCGAATGACTGCGTACAACTTTTCCTTAATGAGGGCTGCAAGAACTTTAGCTTCGGGGCTCATCAGTCCTATAGGACGTAGGGCCGAGGGATGAGACGGCGCCTTACCCGGCTTTGGAAGCCAGATGATCCATGCATCAGTCCACCTGGGAGGGAGGGTGGCGTTAGTTTGTGCATATTGTTCCATTGTGAGTTGGAGTAGGGGGGCGATAGACGCAGCTCCCACTTTCCATGCTGCGGGCTTTGCCCACGCTGGTAATTTTGAGCTGTCCATAAACCTCCTCCATTGTGAAAATGAGGGGGAGAATTTCACCTTCTCTTGGGGGCTGTTCTTGTTTGGGGGCAAAGAGACCTTTGCTATAGCTAACCAGTGATTCGTGTTCTTGCTTCTGAGTGAGGAGTGTCCCCTTCTCGTCCTTGAGCATAACCCTAGTGCGAGGGGCCCATGGCGCCAGTTGTTTGACCCACGCTCTTCCTGTTCTGAGTCTCCGTCGGGTGGATCCGGTATGTCAGGCCGCTGTGTCGGCTTCCGTTTTCTCTTGCGGTTTCCCTCCACTTGACTGGGTTGCGCTGCCCTCTGTGGCCGGCTCGTCGGCTCCACTTGGCTTGGGGCAGAGTTGTCCTCCACCTTTTGCTCAGGTGTGGACCTCTTGACCAGCGCCAAGACGCTGTGCACAGGAGTGCCCGGGAATACCGGCTGATAAGGTGGGTCAGACGGCACTGCCTGAATCGCTCCCGATGGAGTGGTCTCATCCAGGAGATCATCGCTGTCACAATCAACATCCGGGAATTCTTCGTCTAGTGCCTCCGAGAAGTCCGAGTCCGACGACATGTTGTGATGAGCGGTACTGACTGATGGGGGCCCCGGTGATGTGTTAGGCAAGTTCCCCTTCTGATCCACTGCAGCTGATATGGGCATCCAGATCACAGGCAGAAGTGCACCTAAGCGAGTCCCAACCACTAGAAGGCCCGCCTGAATGTCGAGCTTGGGGGTAGGGCCACCAGCCAAGTTCTGCAGGGCACAAAAGGACATGGTCATTGCATATTGGTGGGTTACCTGGTAATTTGCAGAAAGAAAGGGATGCAGCATGTATGCTCGCACATGCGTAGACTTCGAATTGTCCGGGGCCGCTTGTCGACCAGCCTGTCCTAATTGTGGCCGTAGGTAGGCCTGCAGCACCACGGATGGGAGTGGAGGGGAGTCATCCGTGGACTCAACCCTTTCTCCGCTCTCGCGAATCGTCACAGCCTGAATGTATTTTGGAGCGATAGGGTCAGACGTGAGGTAGTATCCATTCTGAGAGCGATAGTATACACATTCTGTGGCCGAGCTCGGCTTCACATGGAGCACGATGTCTGTACGTGTGGGGAAGTACTTTTCGCTGCTCCTCTCGTCGGGCAGCAGGTGAAGTTGCTGCCTCCAGGAGCTCCCTCCACCACCGCCAGGGTGAAGCCCTTCTTGAAAGATCTTCTTGTAAAACTCATAGTGGGTCGCGTGGAGAAGAAAGGGGCCCTATCATGTACTGCTTCCGGGTCCACTTGACGGCTGTGGCCCTGTACTGCTCCAACCACAATGTGGGTGTTGTCTCGGTCCCGAGCCCAGAGGATGCGGAACCTTTGTTTTTTGTTCCAGTAGACCACTGCCAGGAGTTCTTCCTTAGTCGCACGAACCTGGTCGAATATATCCAACTTGGTGATCGCCTCCAGGGGTGCCGTGGCATTCTTGTGGAAAGTAAGGCCGAATTGGCCTTTGTCGTGTCGGAGGACCTTGCTTAACCTTTTCGAAAGGGTTTCATCACGGTCACGACGGAGTTTTGTCGGTGGGAATGGGAAGGAGTACGGAGTGAAGGTGGGGGCCTGTTTCAGGCTCCCCTCTGGCTCTTCGGTCAGCGTGCTGTCTGCACTGGTGTGTGCAGAGTCAGCATTGAGGGCCGAAGTAGTCGGCACCTCCTCATCGATGCCAAGGGCTTCCAGACTTTCCGGGTTCTGCTCATCCTTGATGTCATCATTGTGGGAGCTGTCCGGAGCTTCCTCTTCTCTCTCCCAGTACTGATCTTCTTCTTCCTCCTCATCGTCCTCGTCGTAATCCTCTTCGTCCTCATAGTAGTAGTCTTCTTCCTCTTCCTGATAGTCAGCATCCTGTGTAGGGGCCGGATGCGGCGCTTCCTTGTCTTGATGCGAGGAGGAGGAAGGGGCCGCATTCTGGTGCTTGGCTCCCGGGTAGAAGTGGTGTAGAAGCCGATCCACTTCTGGTTCCGTAATTTTCCAGCCCATAATGTCATGCATTTGGCTGGGGATCTCACCTAGGAGATCAACCCAAGCATCCATGGACTCAACGATCCAGTTGAACATGGCTCGGAATTCGGGGTCCTCTTCCTCGTGGACTGTTCCCACCCAGCCCTCAACGGCTGCTCCGTACGAGCCCTCCTTTGAAGTTTCCGGATTGCCGTGGAGCTCTCCACAGAGCAGGTAGGCAAAAGATGCCCAGTTCCAGTTCCCGTAGGATGGCAATTTCACAGCTTTGTGAAAGTCATCATGCTTCTTGGTGTAGTGGCCTCTGCCGAAGAACGATTCAATGTGCTCCGTAGCACCGTTCTGCCTCAGCTTTCTGAGATTGTCGCGAAGCGACTGCCAGCGCTCCCATTGTCTGGCTGTTTGAGCCGTCGACTGGGGCGGGCCTCGTGGAAGGTCTTGTGGGAGGCTGTCCTCTGCTGCCTGGGGCCGGCTATCGGCTTCCCACGGTGACCTCGTTTGCGTGGGCTTTGAGGAGGGGTCGGCGGACGTCCCTGTGTTCTGGCCTCACGTCTCTCAACCCTCCTTGGGGGAGTATCATCTTGGATATCTCTCTGCCGCTCGGCCCGGCGTTGGGGAGCATCATCCCTGGTTTCTCTCTGCCGGTCCCCTCGTCTGGTAGGGGCCGTGTCACGGTCGTCCCTAGCGGTGTTCCTTGCTGGTGGGCGTCTGCCCTCCCTTTGTTCATCAGCATCTTGCTGCCGACGGCGATCAGGGCGGCGATCCTCGGTGTTGTTTCGCCATCCATCCCATTGTCGTGATGAGTAATCTATCCATCCACCTCCTTGCCATGTGTCGCGATTCCATTCTCTGTCGCGACTTCGATCATCTTCATGATCGCGGCATTGCGTAGGCCGGCGATCCTGATCATCTCGCCTTTCTGTTCGCCTGTCTTGCTGGCGCTGCTCTCGCTGGCGAGTGAAAGTTTGAGTTGGGGGCCGTTGCTGCGGCTGCTCCCCTTTTCCTTTGCCACGATCCGAATTCTTGCCCTTGCCTTTGCCTGGGCCAGTCTGGGGGGCTTGTCCCTTGCGCTTCCCTTTGTTCTGCCAGGCTGCCTGAATGGCGAAGAGAAGGCACAATGGTACTGGTATTCAGGATCAAAGGAAACTGGTTGGAAAGCCGCGTCAAAGGACAAGCAAGGAAAGGAAAAGTGCAAGTCTCAGGCAAAGCAACTTGAGGACTGGCTCAAGGTAAGCAGCGAAAGCCTGTTGCTGTTCCAGCGCCGAGCATCCCTTTCGGTGCAGGAGATGACCCGCCGACACCTGTCCCGCTAGGGTTTAGTGGCCCTCCTGCTAGTGTAGGCCAGGGTTTGGTTGAAGGCCCAAGTGCCAGCACACCTGCTGGAATGATGCCACCGACTCCGGTGGGACATGAGGGACCGTCTGAAGGTCCTGTGACTCCGACTCCGAAGAGGACCAAGTTGCATCTGTCAAGGCCGCCACCGGCCAGTGCACGAGTACCTGATGTACCTATGTTTGAACAGGCGCCAGGAGTGCCGAACCCAGCTCTGAGCATTCCTTTGGGACCTCAGACACCTGAGTCAGTTCTTGAACCTTTGGCAATGTCAACTGACGTTGCTATGTCAGGCAGTGCTGATACTGCTGTTAAAGCACCACGAATTCGTACTGTTTCCTTTGGTGATCGCAGCTATGACTTGAACGATGAAGGCTATGATGGCGATTTCTCTGAATGGGAGGATCCCGAGACCTTCTACGCTATCAATGAACCAGAATGGTCAGATGATGAAGGACAAGAACCCGTTTCGGCATCCATGAACGAGGCGGGGCAGTCCGAAGAGCTTTTGTGGTTTGATGACGAGGGCCATGAACCGAACCTCAGTCATGATGAGTTGTATGCACTTGACAGGATAGCGGATGAAGTAGAAGTGAAGCGGCTAGTGAGCAAAGGCGTTTTGCGTGCCGCGACTGAGCATGACAATGTTCAGACAATGAAGAGTTTGCCTACCAAAATGGTGAGATCGTGGCGTCGCAAACGCCGCGCAGGCAAGTCGCAGTATCTTCGAAGAAGCCGTCTTGTAGCACGAGAGTACAGATGGCTGGAGGACAAGCAAGGCCTCTTTTCACCATCAACCACGACCAACGTGGTGAAGCTCATACCGTTGCTCTTCTTGTTGTGGCGAACCACTAGGGTGGACACTACCTGGGGAATAGCATCTATCGACGTTAAGGATGCGTACTTAGAGGTGCCACAGGAAGACCCGGTGATTGCTGGACTGCCCGCTGACTATGTAGGATCTGGAAAATACATCTTCTTGAAGTGCGTTCCGGGACAGAGAGACGGGGCGCAGAGATGGTTCAAGTACTACGTCGATTTTGTCAAGTCAAAGATGCCGTTGGTTTCATGCACAGAGAACCCTGCGATCATGAGAGTCACAGAAGGACCAATGCTTATGCATGTTGATGATGGCCTTACTCTTGGACCGTTGGGATGGCTCAAGGAGACGTACATCCCTGCGTTGAAGACGCGGTTCGAGATATCGGTCGACATTGCCCACAAGTTTGGTGATGTGTTTTCTTTTCTCAAACGCAAGCACACAATTCTGGAATCTGGTATTCTCATAGAGACACCTGACACCTACATCAAACACATGGCCAAGATCCTTGGAATTAAGAACGGTTCAAAGCACAACACACCGTACTATCCCGACTTGATCCGCGATGACTGCTCAGCTGCTTTGGGGGCTGCTGATGCTGGGAAGTGCAGGAGCGCATTGGGAGTTGCATTGTACCTCTCCAATGACAGGATTGACATTTCTTACAGTGTTCGAGTTCTTGCATCTTTTATATCTGCTCCAACGGAGACCGCTATGAAAGGACTGCATCGGCTGACCAAGTACCTCTTGAACACCATGCATTATGCCACTTTGCTTGCACCGAAGCTGCCGGGATCTTCAGTCTATCACGCCGAACAACATGATGACCAGGACCACTATATGGAGATCTACAGCGACTCTGACTGGTCTGGGAACAAGGTTACCCGGAAGTCCTTTGGGTGCGCCAGCTTTGCGATCAATGGGTGCGTTTTTCACCACATATGCAGGTCTCATCGAACAGTGTCTTTGAGTTCAGCGGAGGCCGAATGGTATGCGGGGATTTCAGCGTCTTGCGAAGGAATATTTCTGAGATCAGTATTCTCTTTTATGTCGTGCTCCCCGTGTTCGCTGCACACCTTAAGCTGGACAACTCAGCTGCGCGCCAACTGGCACTTCGCCAGGGCGTAGGGAACAAGACACGTCATGTTGCAGGCCGGCTTCTCTGGCTACAGCAGGCGGTCAAGGAGAAGGTGCTCACAGTTTCAGCGATCGCCTCGGCGTATAACCTGGGAGACCTTTCGACCAAAATGCACCCAGTTGGCCGTCTGAGACTTCTGCTGTTCCTTCATGGTTTTGCTGATTGCGACACTGCAGAGCCGATTGGATGTTTAGAGTATGAAGAGATGGTCTTGCGAGAGACCGTGAAAGCTCAGGTGAAACGCGTTCGACTGGATTATGCCCGAGCTCATGGATGTTCGAGCAACTTGAAGAGTGATGCAAACAGGTTGGCCAAGCAGATCGCGATGCTCACGATTATGATGGCTCCCCACTTGGGAGAAGCAGCGGACGATGGCCACACTCCGCATGCTGCTGGAAATGATTTCTCGATGATGGTTGCAGCCTTGATTTTCATCTTCCTTATGTTCTTCAGAGCCTTGAGCTGGCTGCGTGGACAGGGTTTCGACTTTAATGCAATTGTCGAGCTGAATGCGGCGGATGTTGGATCAGGCATGCTTACTGCAGCGCTTGTCGGAATGAGTTTGATTCCTGAGATGAATGCTGAGCAATGGGCTATCGTGATGCTGCTCTACATTATCCTTCGTATGCGAAAGGCAAGTGAGGCTTTCTTTTGCAGTGAGCCGAGTGAGAGTTCAAGTGAGCCGCATGTGAATGCAAGTGCCGGTGAAGCCAAGCTGAATGCGAGTTCTAGTGCGAGTGGTAATGCCGTTGAGAGTAGCGCGTCAAGTAGTGGAGAACCCATCCGGGCACCCAACGTTGTGAACCAAGCTATTCTTTGTGCTGAGAGAGGTGATTGTTACCACAAGCCCGGATGTCATGTGCTTCGTACAGTCCGTTCGCGAGTCAAGCGGTATAGGCCGTGTGTGTACTGTGTGCCAGATGCCAACCGAGACGGTTGAAGCATCGTGTAGTGTTTGAACAAAGTCAAGGTGAGCACGGTGCATAGCGCATCATGCTCAGGCGGGGTGTTGACTTTTGACACATATGAGCATACCCCATTTTCCTTGGCGATTTTGTAGTGTTTTCCTGATCATGTGTGGCATGAGAACACATGTGATTATATGGACCGCGCCGCGACTTTCAGGCTCTAGAGTGTTTGGAAAAGATCGTGCATTCGTTCATTCTTGTATAATCACTGGTTTAGCTTCTTTTACAGACGGCGGTGTTTCATGTATAACTTCATTTTGTGTCTGTATTGTTTGAATAGGAACTGCTTTAACTTTTGTTTTTGCTTTAGGTTTAGGCATAATCGGTTTATCTTCAAGCTTACTACATTTATGACTATATCTTAATGTTTTTAATGTTAGATTTGCTCCACAATCTTTACAGATAATTTTCTTATTTTTCATTCTATCCGTTTTATTTTTAAACTGCGTTTCTTCATTTGCATTCTCTTCTTGCTTAACTTCATGTTTAACATTCTCTTCTGTTTTAACTTCATTATTTATTGGTTGTGCTTCTTGTGTTGCTTGTTCAATAGTGTTTTTAGGTTCTTCTTCAATAATTGGTTCAGGTGCTTCAGACATATATAATATATTCTATATTCTATATTCTATATTTTTTCTATAATTATTATAAATAGAAATAAAATAGAAATCTTATAAATTTACGAATAATAAAGTAAATGAAACAGGGGCGTTGTGCAAGTTTACCGTTTTACCGCGCGCGTCAGTAATTCTAAATCTAAATCTTTTTAATGACCTATTGGAAACATCAATCCAGTCATTAACAAGTGGAGCATTTGTAGAAACAGTAACTCCGCCTACATTAAACATCATATTAACTTTTTTTATTATGCTATTACTGTATCCATCGGGTGCTGAATAATGAAAATCGCTTAACTCAGTGCAAACGATAAATAATGAATTAAATGGATTCAAGTTCATCAACCCGCTAGTCCATGTTGTAGCAGTTGGTTTTTGTTCTTCATAATTACCGATAATATTATTTAAGCTCATAGGGTCTAAAATATTATTACCTTGCCATATCGCGAGTTCTTGTAGTTCCTTATCAGTTGGAACTTTAAAACTATACGTATTATTAGTAATATTCAATATCATTCTTCGTTGGTCACTGTCATAACTTGCAGTGAAAAGATTAGAAGGAAGGCCCGCGTTAAGTGCTTGTTGACTTAATGAATTACCTATTCTACCTACTAACTGAGAAGCAAAAAATACTTGATTTTTTAAATCAATTGTTAAATACGCTTCAACTAACTAACCCGCTTGAAGTATTATAAACTATAACATATAAAAATTGGAAAAATCCTTCAGGAGTTGTATAATAAGATTGTGGTATAACTTCATCCATTACATACATAACCGTGTTAGGGTGTGTTTCTAAATTTTCATTCATTTGTATTATAAAATCGCTACTGCTTTCACTTTGTGGTAATCTTCTTTGACTATCAACATATACTTTATTATAAGTTAATTTACGATTGCTTAACATTATTAATATACTGAGATTTTTTTATAATTTATAACATAATTAAATGGCTACAGCAGGTTTAAGAATTGCAGAAGTTCTACAAAATTTAGCAAGAACAGGAAGAACAACAAATCAGTTAACGAGAGAAGGACAGGCACTAAGAGGATTTCGGGAAGAAACAGATAATATTGATGATAATTTTTTACAATCATTACAAGCAAGAGTAAGAGACAATCAACAATTTAACCCCTTGAAAGATTTTATAAAGGAACATTTAAATAATAATGAAAAGAAAAAGAAAAGATTATTAACCCGTGCAGACGATTTTAATGCACACTTTAATAATAAACAAATGCTTCAGAATCCTAGATATAGAGAGGTTGTTAATGTTGAAAACAAAAATTTTATTGATGATGTAGAAGGTTTAAAAACAGCTTACGCTAATAATACAGGAATGTTTAAATCAGGTAACACATTATATATATATATATCAGGAACTGGTGGTAAGTCTGGAATAGGGGCTAAAGTAAATGATGTATTCAGTGATATCTTTTTAATACCGACTCATAATTTACAGTTTTCTGATAAATACAGAGATGTAACTAATGAATTAGATAAACACCCCGATGTTACACGTCTTGTTGGACATAGTCTTGGTTCATCCGTTCTACAAGAAATTAATAATAGAAAAATCAAAAATATGTTACAACTACTTATAATGCCCCGTTTGTTGCTTTCGGTAATAGAGGCGGTAAAAACCCACATCATTTACGCTTTTCAAATACTGGAGATGTAATTAGTATTTTAGATAGAGATGCTATAAAGATTGAAAGCGGGACTACAAACCCAGTTAAAGCACATAAATTTGATAACTTTAAAACACAAGGAACATTTAAAGTTGGTGAAGATAATACTATGGGTGTATCAAGTCACGCTAATGATTTTCATTCACACGCAGCGGGAGGATACTGTCTGAGGTGAAACTTGACGTCCACGCTTTGCGAGGGGTCGACCTGCTGCTCTGCTTACTACTTGCGCGGTCACTTCATGACGAGCCGTGCCTTAACACAGCACTCGCACACGCTCCGCCCCTTAAGGCTGCAAGCAATGAAGTTGGAATCGGACGTGTCGTCAGTGACTCGAGCTGCAGACTCTGGCACTAATGAGCGAGTTAACTGGCTGATTGGCAATGTATCTCTGACTGATTGGCGACTTCCATTTTGCACACTGCTGTCTCGCAAGAATGTCTAGCCTCGCTGTGAAGGCTCGGTGCGAACCACTAGCTCTATGTTATAGTAAAGGCGGTGAGGCAATGAAACACTCAGTAAAGGCAGGCCAGGCGCCGCTTCCAGCCCGTTGTTGACATTTGTAGATGGCGGAGCTACTCCTGCCGGACCTGTGCTGGTGACATGAAGCTCTCCTGTCCCTGGATGGGAGATCGTTGAGGTCACAGCCTTTGACGGTGGTCCCAGGGGAGAAACTCCTCCCGGGACTCCACCTTTCGCTGGCACTCCTGGTGCCTTACCTGGTCCCGGTGTCCGATCTGTGCTAGATCCACTTCCTGACAGGTTAACAGGCATCGGAGGCGGCGGGCCCTTTGGGCCTGCTGCTTTGGGGGCTGCTGTGGGAGCTGCTGTGTCTTCGGAGTCAGACTCCCGAATGGAGTCACTGGCTGGCGGCGACCTGGATATATGGGGACGACGACGCACTGGTGGGGGGGTTCGAGAGGTCGCTCTGTTGCCACTCTTCTTCGGTGTTTCAGGCATGGCATCTACACTCAAGACAGCTGGCGAGTTGAGCCTGAACGAGGAGGCAAGTGGAGCTTCCAGAAGACTTTTGGCTGACAACTCACTTGCAGATCCGGGCCCACGACTTCGCACGGAGCTTTTCATGCGACCTCGGGGTATGCTTGCTGTCTGGTGATGAAATTGAACCGTCAGCCTCATAACACAGATTTTTGCGTGAGCAGCTGCATTATCTGTGTGGGGAGGGACTCCACCGTTAGGTGAAGGTCATCACGATCAGAGCGGCCTGTTGTCGCCTCCGTACTTAGTACCTGATTTCAGGCTCTGGTAGTACTCTATGACAGAAGGGGGCACTTCAGAGGGGGTGAGAATGACGCCGTTCTTGCTACGGAAAAATTGCACCCCTTCCTGCATGGCTCTGCGTGGATCGACCGCCACCAGCATCGACGAGCTGTCTCTGATTCCAGAAACACCAGGTCTCCCATAGTCCTGATCCGAGACGAGGTGAACATGCTGTCGTCCCTCTCTGCCACGTCCACCTTTGCCGCGACCCTTGGAAATCTTTTTCTGAGGCAAAAGGCCTCGTTGGCGTATGGAGTCATACAAGGACCAGAACGTGCCATGATACAGCATTCTGGGGAGCATCTCCTCCGTGAGTTCCTCCAACACTTCGTTGGAGTCCACATCAGAGCGAGAATGTCCTTGCAGAGCCCTGATGTACTTCTGGCCTTGGCAATCGCCCAGCTCGTACCTGCCTTTTTCGTTACTCCGAACGACCTCCAGGAGGTCGCCTGCCGTGGCGTGCTGGGCCTGCACTCTTGGCCATCTCAGGACTTCCTCTAATTTGGCCCAGCCAGCTGAAGTGACGCTGAGGTAGGGTTTATGTCCGTGCCGGAGCGAAGCTGCTAGAGCCTTCGAGACTTCGATCGAGAAGCTGCTCTCCGGCTTCGTAGAGGCAGTGCGATATTCCCCTAGATCGCCTGGTTGGCCTTCCCAGGCCACTATAGTGGAGCTGCGTGGCGTTGTTGAGCTGTGATCAGTCTCTGGCACCATGGTCGGGGGAGAAACTCCACCCTGTGAGCTGGATGCCTGCTCGCGAGAAGAAAGGGGAGCAACTCCTCCTTCCTTGACTCCACTTGACGAGGCGTCGCCAGGCAGCTCGTATCCCAGCGCCGAAAAGGATTCCCGAGCATGTCTCAGTGGTATCTCCAACAAGCCGCTCCACTCTCGGAGGTACTCACCTAAGGTGAGTGTCTCCTTGGTTGATATTTGCAGTAGCAGCGCTCGGATTTTGACTGCATCATAGGAGTATATCAGTTGGTTTGTTTTCTTACCCTTTTTTTGCGATCCAGAATGCGCAGCCTCCACCTCAAACATGGGCCGCACGAATATGTGCCGAGGTCCTATCCTCACCAGACAACTGTAGCCGGCAGCAAGATGCCTGTTTGACATCCTGTGAAGATACACGCCTGGTCGTGCCTCGAAGCTTCGCGTGCCGGAGAGGTCAGGTGTCGAAGGAAGTAGCCTGCCTGTGGCCAGTATCCCATGCAAACATTCCAGGTGTGTACCGTGGAATGCAACCTCGCTGTCCCCTGCAGGAAGGATGTTAGGTGAAGAATACTCAAAACGAAACCACCCATTCTCTTCAGCTGTGGGATATCCAAGTTTAGGATGCAAAGGCTCATTGGCAAGTCCCCGGCGGGAGGCCAGGAAGGTCTCCAGGAGAGCATTGGCTACCTCCGGAGAGGGTCGTTCCACCTGATTGAGACCATCTCGCAGCTGCTGAGTGACTGTCACCATAATTCGGTGATTGTTCAGCTCAGTGATGTTACCGTCACAGTCTGACATCAGACTGGGAAAGGGGGTGTAACCAGCTGACTGAAGAACTTTGATCGCAGCTTCCGTGATGGGGTCCCCAGAGGGAGGATCTCCGCTCTTGGCCTTTGCTGCTGGGGGAGTATCTCCACCCTCGCCTTGCCCTGTACTTCTTTTCTTGGAAGGAGGAGGAGGGGGAGTGACTCCACCCTTTCCGCTTCCCTGCTCTTCCTGTCCACCAGTACCTTTGGAGGCTCCTTTATGTGCAGGATAGCTTTCGCCGTGAGCACGAGCGGAGCGCCTCCACTGGCGCAGGAAATTGCGATACGTGACATGCGGAAGTTGTTCACGTACCCGTCGCTGACAGAATTCCTCGTACTCCGCTTGAAACGAGGGATCCTGTGTTGACTCAGGTCTGGACATGGTGCTGAGTCTTGAGAGAAAGCTGCGGTTGTTGGCTCAAGCTGGCTGAAGCTGACTCAAGCTGGCTTCGAAGCAGGCAGCTAGGCCTAGGCCACTGAGCTCCAGGCCGCCACAAGGAGACCTGCATCACGGATGGAGGAGTGCTGTTCGGTCAGTGTGTCTCAGTGCAGGCAGAATTGTTGCAGGCAGCGACTCAAAGCTTTTAAAAACCCCTAGGGAGAGACTCCACCAGCTGTACACCCCTCGTTGGGGGAGAAGCTCCACCAAATAGGGGAGAAGCTCCACCTATAACTCTTTGGTTCAAAAACCCCTGGGGAGTAGCTCCACCAGCTCTACGCCAAACGAGGGAGAAACTCCTCTCTTTGTTGCAGGAGCTCCTGCTTAGGGAGCATCTCCTCTTCTCACTTGGCTCAGGAAGTGGCGGCGTTGAGGTGATTGTAAGTTACCTCCCACGTCGCCGAGGCCAGGTTGAGTCTACCGTCTTCAGCAAAAAACTGAGACCTCAACGTCTGCACATCAGCTTGGCATGCCTCTTGGTACTCAGCAGGGAGATATTTGGCGATGTATCCCGTGATATGGGATTCGCGTTCCATTGTCTCCAAGTCGTACCGGTGGTAACCGAGGCTTGTTGGGGAAAGCAGGTCTCCACCATGGATGCGAACCAAAG